AACAAATGCAGCTCCTCGGGCCTTACAGGCCTTCCGAGCCTCTTCTAGTTCCTTGGCTTTCTGTGTCCACCGCACTTCACGGCCGGCCTACCCGCTCACCTTCACTTGACGTCTGAGAATTTGTCGCATCAAGTTATGTTCAGGGTCGGATGGAATGTTTCTCGGAGATTTAAGGGGTGCCACCGTTCGCTCTGATTTTCAGGGCTTGAGTGAGCCTGATTGTGCCGTGCCTCAGGCGAAATCATCAGCACTATGCAAATAGGTGGCAATCTCGTCCCAGTATAAGTTCGTATCTGTTGGTGGAACATTTGGAAGAGACTCTAGAAGACGCTTCTAGTGAGTTCGCCTAACGTTCGGATCTGCCAGTCTCTCATTTGCCAAGCGATTTGTCCGCACCTTACGCGTCCCTGAAAAATGTGGGGCAAACAAATCTGGACGAGTGCGTGGTCCGAATCCGCAAATGTTTTCGAAACGACCGGCAGTTAGTCATTAATCCGCGCCATCGGTAAACGATGGCAATGCAGCCGACTTGAGTTTGTGTCCGGCATGCCGTTGAGGACACCATGAGGTCGGCGATTTCGACTATTTTGGAAGTTAGGACTGCACAAAAGCGGTCTGCGATCAGCACACAGCTGAAGCAATCGTTCACCCTTTATCTGTACATACCGAGTCCAATCCATGTCGACCTCCTAATTGAGTCTTAGATACACTAAGCCTGTCCACTTATGCATTCGGCGACCACTATGATATCTGAGCTTTTATCTCACCACAGCAGGGCATTCATGGAGTCATAAAGCCTGTCTTTGACGGCGTTGGAGCGACAGTCAGTTGGAAAAAATCATTCAGCTGTAGCGCCCTTTCGGTGCCTTACTGTCATGCTACCCGAAGGGAGCACGAGGTCTGAGATACCGCCAGGTGCTCAAGCTTAGATAGGAGAAGTCGAGAGGTAAAGGTCAGGTTCGAACCACGGACCTTTCCGTCAGTAAATTCGCACTATATTCACAGTCATCTCCCCTCAAATCCTCCCCTATAGTCGGTTGGGGCGTAAGCAGACACGATAACCAGACGTCTGTCAACTTTCTGCTTGTGAAACTCCTCAGACGTTGCCAGACGAACCGCACAGAGGCGACGATCAGCAGGTATCCAGTCAAGCAAGGATACTTCCGCCCGGTGACTCAGGACAATACCAACCCCTGCGCATCCAGCCGCCGCAGCTTCTGGATCACCAGAGGTGCGCAGCCGGAAACGAGTAGACACTGATGGGTCGGTTAGCTAAGTTACTGTGCTTGCATCTTGAATTCTCGTTTCTGAGACACAGCACACATCAATGCCAAGCGAATCCGGTATGAAAGCAAGAACAGCTTATTGTCCTGCTTGCTTCAGAGTGCGGACATTGATGGCGGCCAGATAAACTGGGTGTCGAGGATTGAAGTTTGATTTGGAGATACCTGAGGATGTCGGCGCCATGTGACGAACATATGCTGCACGCAAAACCGATGCAAGACGAACGGAGTCATCAGTCCTGAGTGCTGAACTTTCAAGGGGAGATTTTTAATGGGTTGGGGAACGTGCAGCTGTAGCACCCTTCCGGTGCCTATCTGCCATGCCACCCAAAGGTTGCACGAGGGCTGGGATACTGCCAGGTTGCCCAAGCCTAGACAGGGGAAGTCGAGAGGCGGAGGTCGGATTCGAACCACAGACCTTCCGGTCAGTAAATTCGCGCTCTAACCACTTGGGCCATCCCGACCCCGGTTGGGGAGAGGGGGAAGAGAGAGAGAGAGAAAGAATGGAGGCGTTAGCAGCAGCTTGCTTTTGCTTACCCGCCGTACCGTATGAAGCGAGTACGGCCACCCATCTGATTGCATCACGCGACGGCTGATGTGGTATGAATTCATTGTTGGATGTAGGTATCATGGTTCTACATGGGCTGGGATACTGTTAGGTTACCCACACTTAGACAAGGGGGCGAGATGAGATGA